AGAAGTAGAGATAAAAGAAGGAGAATGGTAGGTGCTGGAGCCTAATTTTAGCTCCTATCTCACCATAAGGTCGTGGGTAAATCATTTAGTGTCTCATTTCTATTCCACCTGTAGGATTCACTATATAGTATAATGTCAAGATTGACGGACTTGTTCTGTAAAGGGTCAGAGAGTAACTATTTTAGGTTTTGTCAGCCATACTGCCTCTGTCACAACTATCCAACTCTGTCACTGTAGAATGGGAACTGCCATAACCAAGACAAATGAATGCGTGTGGTTGTGTTCCAATAAAACTTTATTTGCAAGAACATATTGTTTGGCCCCTGGGTTGTAGTACACCAGATGTCAGTATAAAATCTACTTAATGAAGAGAGTTTAATAATAGAGAGGTACCATGAAAAGAAGTAAAATGATGTATAAAAAAAAGGGAAGAGGTATAAAGCTTAAATGACGGCCAAGGGGAAAAGTGGTTTGTCTGAGGGGAAAAAAAGAAAGGTGTAAGGTAAATATTTTCTACAAAAACAAACCCAAAGACCAAGATCTGAAATCTACTTTTGATGAAAATTATCATGGAATTTAAACCACACCAGGGATGTTTTAAGCATTATAGTCAATCTCTAAGGAAGCCACTTGGTCATTCTTCAAGTTAAAAAACAAACAAAACACTGAAGAACTAAATCCTCTTTATGAAGTGTTTACTATTATCCTAGTGGATATTATCAAACTAGAGGATCATGTTAGCTTATTTCTTTACTATTTGAATTATTTTCCCACTAGATGTCAATCCTAAAAACTATTCATCCACCGGATATTTAATTAATATACAAGGGGACAGAAATCATGATGTTGTTCTAATCTGCATTTCTTCCCCCAGAGTTTTTATAAATCTTTATTTTTTAAAAAATATTTATTTATTTTGAGAGAGAGAGAGAGAAAATGCGCACGCACGTGAGCCAGGGGTGGGGGTGGGGAGGTGGAGAGGGAGGGGCAGAGAGAGAGAAAAGAGCCTGAAGCAGGGCTTTGGGATCGATCTCAACACCATGAGATTATGACCTGAGCCGAAATAGAGTCCAACGTCTAACCGACTGAGCCACCCAGGTGCCCCTTCATAAATCTTTATGATGCACCACCCCATGGTAACATTTCAGTCTCCTGTATGTCAACATCGATTACTTTGAACATTGTATCAAAACAATTTTCCAGCGTAACTATAAAATGGAACAGTGGCATGGTCTGAAGTAGAAGAAAATTCAGTTGCTCCTCCTATAGTTTATTTCTAAAATTCAGAAAGCAACTTTAATAAATAGATAATTTTGAGGGTATACAGATCTACATTGTCTTATCTGAAACTCTTTGGCCAGATGTGTTTCAGAATACAAAGGTTTTTAAGTTTTAGAAAGACAATATGCTTCATATATCTCCAGTGAAATCTGGAGCCATACCCCATAATCAAATATATTAATTTTGCTACAGCCCAACTCATTTCTACCAAATATAATAAATGCCAAAATTAGTCTCCTGTCAGTTCAAGTTCAGAACTTTCTGTCAAATATCTTTACCTCAAATTTATGCAAACCTTTTTAGTTTCCAGAACTTTTTAAAAATTTGGTAAGGGATGGTGGGTCTGTTGTATATAAAAACCAACCAAACAAAAAGCCTTTCTAAGGGTTTTTCCAGCTCAATGTTAAGTATTTGAATGATATAGCCTTGTAACTCAAAATACTTTCAAGCATGAATCCAAGAATAAGCCGAAATTCTTCCTATAGGCACAATTACCAAGGAAAACGTGTTCCCTCTCTGCTCCAGTGAGTTTCCATTTCTTTTCAGAACCAACACATACATGCATTAAACCCAATTTCATCACTATTAGTGGACATTCTGGCAGTCATTTACAACCAAAAGGACCTGTACCTCAAGGATAGATGATCTGTGATATGAATAATCTCCTATTCTTCAAGAATCTTTGGTTTTCTCCTCAGTAGAAAGATGGTTCTTATAGCTCTGGTAGTAACTACAGCTCTCTATTTTAATTGCCGCTGATATTTGTAGAACTCTTCTTTAATTGTTTCCAGTCTAGAGCATTAATTTTTAGTCCTGGCTGTGCCTTAGAAATGCATGTGGAACACTTAAAAATACAGATGGAGGCAGCACCAGATCAATACACTTAGAGGCCTAAAGGGCCAATTAAAAAAAAAAAAAAAGTGTCCTCTCCCATACATAATTGAAAATCATGAAACACATGTAAGTAGATTCACCCTAGATCAGATGTTCACATGAAGCTTTGGTCTACACATCTACGCACTTTTTCTTTCTTATTTTGATGCCCCCACTTTGCGACAGTACACAATCATGCACCTGTTCTTCCTATTGACTAATTCAGTACCGGGATAGCCTTCAGATCTGTAGTCTCTCCCAGGAAGGGAGTAGAAGGAGGGTGGAGGAGAGGAACAGACTTGGTAGGAGCCTCCCAGACTATCATGCAACCTAAGAAAGGTTCTGCAAGGCCACTGAAAAGTCTTCAAGCCAGTCAGCTATCAGAGGAATTCCTGTCTCCCAGGAATGGACCTGCCCTAGTACCTTTGCCTTGCACCGTCAGTAACTAATAGGAACCACAGAAGGCACAGCCCCAGTGCAAAAGCAGCCCAGGATTGCAAAGTGGAGGAGCTGGGCCCTCGTCAAATACATTCTCTGTATTCTCCGCCCCCACCCCCAACTGAAGACCTGTGCCAGAGATCTCCAGGGTGGTAAAGGGGCTCAGTACCTTTCAGCAAAGCCCTTCCCTAACTAGCACTTTTGAAGTGCTCCCTAACTATTAATTTAACTTCTCCCTATGACAGGACTGGAAGAGGAAAAGGGAAAGATAAAGTAGAAGTAAATGTTATTTGAACATTTAACACAAACCCACAAAGTTTTCACCCTTGTAAACAAGGCACCAAACGTTTTATTTCTTTCAGTTCCTACATAAGTAAATGACTCTGAAAGCATTTTTAAAATACAAAAGACATCACACTTTACCAATGAATTATTTCAGTCTCAGGGGATTAAATCAAATTAAAATGTTACATATATTTGACAGTTTATTTCTATGCCAACTGAGATGGTGAATTTATAATATTTCTATGAATTCTTTTAGTTCAATGTTTTTTGTACATGCCATCAGTACAATATGATTTACTTAAATATTTAGGACACTGTCAATAGCTGTGATTCATATGAGACATATAATCAGATATCTCAAATTCCTGATTAAGTCTGCTTTAAAGACACAGAATATGAGCACATTTGCTGTGAAATTCTGTTTATAATGCTCCATTTAATAAATTGCAATTAACCACTGATGCAGAAATTCTGTTTAAGGCTGGAAGTTTTATACATGACACTTTCCTTCACAGAAAAAAAAAAAGATGTTGAAAAGGCAAAGACCACCATTCTATATCGGAGATCAAATATTTAGGGCATTAGTTATTATATCCTCTTTCTAGAGTCTACAGTAAACAATAACTAAAAAGATTTAAGGCTGGTCTTTAAAAACATAAAGATAGTAGAAACTTTACCACACATCAACAAAAACAGAGCAAACCAAGTATATCCACATCTTCATTCCGTCATGAATTTAGTGATTTGAAATAAATGCCATGTAAAAACCAGAAGCAAATGTAACGATTCATTCAAGGAAATTAAATACTTCTAAGCATTAAAAAAATTTTTTTAATGTTTATTTATTTGTGTGTGTGTGTCGGAGAGAGAGAGAGAGAGAGAGAGAGAGAGAGAGCGCAAGCAGGGGAGGGGCAGAGAGAGAGGGAGACACAGAATCTAAAGCAGGTTCCAGGCTCCAGCTTTCAGCACAGAGCCTGATGCGCGGCTTGAACGCGTGAGCTGCAAGATCATCACCAGAGCCGAAGTCAGATGTTTCTAAGCATTTTTTAAAAAGCTTTTGTAGGCAGTATATCTCTGGTCAGCGTAAGTGAGGTGTGGAAACGACAAAAATATTACTGTGCCGAACAGATTCTCACAGGCTTGCTCCCTCAAAGGACACACTGACCAGTTATTTTCCACAGTGTTCTTATGTATGCCTTATTTTACTTATATACACAATTAACTTTTTCATTCTTTCTGTAAGTATTTAAAATACATTTCAAGGTATGCATTAAGTATTAATTTATGATGCCCTTAAAAATCTTTCAATTTATTAAAAAAACAATCTCTAAGAATATAGAAATATTGAGCTTTTCATATTTCTGAGTCTTGAAAAACTTAAAGTACAATATTTTCATGCATCAGCAAGTTATAATTGTGCCATTTAAGTTCCTCTTGAAAGAGCATGGAAATAATTTCAAAAGTTTCATGAATGCTACGTTACAGAGACCGGACCACAGATATTTTAAGATTTGATTTTCCATATGCATTTATACTGTAATGCAAGGAAGAAAAGTAAGCACCAAAGGAAAACGTGTTTTATTAGGAGAAAAATAACATGAAAAGAAAATAGGAAACATGTCATTTCTTCCTTCAATGGCTTTTCTTCAATTACCTGGTTGCCCCAAAATATTATCTCAGTTCAATTATTGAATAAATTACCCCTAAATAAAATACCCAGTATCTGTCCAAAGGTTTGTCCAAAACCTCCTAAAGAACAATAGTCATTCAAAGCTCTTTTCTTATTCTTCAACAAGAACTTTAATTAAAAACAAGCCCAATGCCCTTTGTTTCACAATTTAAACATTAATGGAAATTTCATTCTGGGTTTAAAGTGATATTTCTTTGAGGGTCTGACTCATTTGAGTGGCAGTGCAGAAAAGTGAATTGCTGACAACACAGAGTTACAAAATTAGAGTCAAAAGTAAAGGGAAAAAAATGGAAAATCCAACACTATCCTGGAAAATAATTCTAAAACTACAGTATAGCTTGAAAAATTCTCTTTAGCAAGATAAAAAAGAGTGATTTATAGACAAGACTGATGGTTGGTTTTTCTCCCAGTAGCAGCCCCCTGGGATCTGTGACTAAAATGGTGTCTGGGGCCTGAGAAGTTTCAGTGATGATTGCTTCATTAATTTTTGCTGGTGTCTCATTGACTGTGCATCACCAATGGCATTACATACTCTCTGTAAAATAAAATATTTGTTATGAATGGTAAAGACAAGTATGGGCTCATGTGAAGGAGAAAGGTCTAAAAGCAAGAACTGAAGCTCTCCACACAGGTCCGACAGCAGAGGATAAGAATACACAATCCAAACAGGCAATGCAAAATAAGACGCTTCTGCTCCATTAAGCCTGCAATATATTATTTTAAGCTTACATATCCATCCAGAGTTATAACTGGAAGATCTTTTGAGAGAAATAATGGGTATTATTATAACAGATTAAAAAAATCTTTCAGCTAAAAAATTAAGGGTCATTCTTTAAAATAAATTGTTTACCTCTGCTGTGGCGTTATCCTGCAGATAAATGTGCCGGCAGCCATGACTGGCACTGTCTTTTTTGTGGAACAGACTCTGCTCCTGTTTCAAAAGAAACAATGACAGAAGAAAAATTATTCTGGGGAAGAAAAAAAAAAATTCTAACTTTTAATTGCATGCTTAAATGTAAACTCTATTTTATAACAAATAGACTAATGAAATATACCTATTCAGGTATGGTAAGTACTAAATCATTTTGGTACAAGGCTAGTGGTTCCATATGTGTGAGCTGTTAGAACTTATGAAATCGGATGACTACACAACTATCTGTACAAAATAATGACTTTCTACAGGCTACGATAAATAGCCTACAGAAACAGCACTTGATAACTCACCACATCTGACAAATCAAAAAATCCTTCCTTCATTTCCTTGGCTGATAGATAAAATTCTTATATAATGTAAAACACACTGAGTCAATTTTCACCACGGATGTGAAAGAAGAGTGATAACCCAGGAGCCTGTAATATATATGCAGAGTGACACAATCTTTCCTAGTCTGAAAACTATGTTTCATATACCAAGAGGCTCTTTTGATTTTGACACTCTACAATGAGGTGAGGCTGAAAAACAAAATGGTACTGTTTCGCAATTTCTTTTATTTGTGAGCTTCTGTGAAAAGAAAACATAAATTAAAGGATAAAAGTACCTACATCTCTAACTACTAAATTTTATGATAAATAGTTTTCAGATGGTTTTAATAACAGAGATAACATCATTACTGCTTAGAAGAAAATACATACTCTAGTAGTTACCATTCTTAGAATGATAATTTGTGGTGTTTTTTTAAGGGGTGAAAATAAATTTACAATATATCATATATAATAAAAATTATACATTTCAAAGTGAGTCTGAGAACTAAGCAAAAGGTGAGGGCATCAATTCTGCTAATTACTTGCTATGTAATTAAAAAGTTCTTTCTTGGAAAATGATGGGACAGAAGGACATGAAAGTATTATATACTTAAATTGTATTAGTATTTTGTAAGTGCCAACTATGATAAAACATGAGTGTTTCAGATAAAATATTTATAATAATCTAATTTATAAAAACCTAAAAAAAGGAATCTTTCCAGAAGCATCTAAGATTGCAGCAAAATAGTTATTCATATGACATTAGAAAAAATATTCTATTTACGAATGCTTTATTCTGGCAAAAAGGAAGTATCAACATCCTAATTCTTTCATTGAACAGAATTGATATTTCACTCAACACAATCAAGGACTGTCAAAAAAGTACAGTACACAAATAAGTGATTATAACACATCTTTCCTTATACTTCACCATATTATTATAATAGTATCATCATCATCATCCTCACCATGATCCTTCAAACACTCTGTGTTGTTAACTGTAAAAGAGAGCCAGAAAGCACTGGTTTCCACTCACTTAACAAATTCTTGGCTCTGAACATGCAACTCATTTATTCTTACCTTGACTGAAATTTTTAGCAGGTTTCCATGGACACTTGGAGGAGACACAAAATCTTCAAATGGACACTGCCAGTCTATGGACATATGGCCTAGGATTTCAACTTCCTTTATACACAACACTCGCCTGTTTTGCAAAAGGAAACAAAACATGCAAGTGGTGATAAAGACAATTAGTCTAATATTTTGCTCTGCTGGATGGCAGACATGGAACTAGCTCAGTAAACAATATAACCTGGCACTTAAAAAATAAAAAGGTACGCTTCCTATTAAAAAAAAGTCTAGGTAGGTAGCTGTCAAATAAAGAGCAAATACGGCCCCTACCAACCAACATAGCAGACATTCAAAAATTCCCCTTCTGCCAATCTTGCAAAATTCAGAAAAGTGTAATTTTTTAAAAACTGACCGAAATACTAAAATCATCTTTAAAACACATAAGGAACAGGCTGTACTCTCATCCAGGAAGCAATAAAGGCAGAAGCTCCTGAAAAGGTTTCACTTGGAAAATTATTAATTGCTCTTTACTGTCAATCATCTATGCCTTCCAGTCAAGAAAGAATGTGCAGGAAATGTCAGAAACCTCAAATGTCAGCAAAGTTTCACTTTAGGCCTATTAATAAATATCAGGTTTGAACACTTTAACACTAATGTACTGTATCACAGAGTGAGTATCCCATTTTACTCAATAGCAAAAAAAAAAAAAAAAAAATTTTTTTAAAAGAAAAAGAAAAAAAGAAAAATCATAGAGTCCTTAAAGGCCATCTACATTGATTTCCCAGTGTGTGATTCAGATTAATTACTGATATAACCATACTTGATTCTAAAGTTTCCATTACAGAGAGCATGATTAGGAAAGTAGAGGAACAGTTAATTCTACAAATATTCAGGGTGCTGGAAAAACAAGAAAGATACGGTTTCTGCCTGAGAGGTACTTATAGGTTAGAAGACAAATAAACACGTAAATATATATCTCAGCACAGTTAGATGAGTGCAATAGCAGTGTGGAAAATTCTTCTGGAGCACAAGAGAGAGGGACTGATTATGTGGGTAAAGTATGTGGCGTAAAAGCTGATTTTTATTTTATTTTTTTTATGTTTATTCATTTTTGAAAGACAGAAAGAGACAGAGCGCAAGCAGGGGTGGAGCGGAGAGAGACGGGGGGCACAGAATCTGAAGCAGGCTCCAGGCTCTGAGCGGTCAGCACAGAGCCCGACGCGGGGCTGGAACTCATGAACCATGAGATCATGACCTGAGCCGAAGTCGGACATTCAACTGACTGAGCCACCCAGGCGCCCCTAAAAGCTGATTTTTGAAAGAAAGGAGTTCTCTACGTGGGAAAGGAAAATGATAGTCTAGACAAATGGAATAGATCACTGACATAAACAGCAGTACAAGAAAGGGAAGGTTTATTTGAGGAATGTTGAGGTCTGTAGCTGGATGGATATACACAGAGGTGAGAAAATTAGTGCCAGATCTTAAAGAATTTTTTGCGTTAAAAAAATTTTTTTTCCATTTAAATAAATTTTAACTTTAACCTACAGGCAAGGGGAACTTTCATGATAAAGTTTCCTATTTTAGAGTCATGGATCTAGTGGCCAAGGGAGGAGAGGTGGGGTAGACAAAGGAAAAAGTTACTACAATACTCCCACCAGGAAACAGAATGTCAGTGAAGGCAGCAGCTGTGAGAAGGGAAGAGAGCAAGCTAGATTCCAGATGCTTAGAAGGTAAAGATGAATGAACTAGGTAACCAATGGAGGGTAGGAATAAAAATAAACCCCCAGCACTGTATTTTTCAGCAGAGGAACTACTGTGATCTGGGTCTGAGTTGGGACTGTGTTGTGCTTGGTAGGAAGTTCAGCATCCGAAGTCCCAGCCTTGGTAGGGCCCTCCGATCATTGTGACATCCTTCCACACCCCTTCATATTCCAAACAGTCTCTAGAAAGTGGATTACACTTCCCCCCACCTCCTGCCCCAGAAGAGAATCACAAGAGCTAAGTGTTACAGATAACTATTACAAATCAGTGTCAAATGCAAATTCATCATTCCCACTGTCTTTAAACTCCTTCCTCTCTTGACCAGGCCAATAACATTACTGTCCTCCTGCCACTCTAAATCTCCTTCATTCTCTTCCTCTCGCTCCACATTTACCATTCTCTTCCTCTTGCTCCAACCCCCTCGGTACCTAAGCCCCAAACCAGAAGGTCATCTTTTATTCCCTTCTCTTCTATATTTAATCAGTCACCAAGCTCTGGTCTCTTAAGGCTGCTCCTTCTATCAGTCTTGATTCTTTTAGTTTAGACCTCACCACCTCCTATCAGGGTAACTGCCACGGTCTCTATGGTACACAGAATTCTAAGATGGTCCCCATGATTCTGCGTATAGTATATGTGGGTTTATCGACTGGTATAAACCCTCGCAACTATTAATATGATGGATTTCACCCCCAAGATTAGGTTTTATTATAAGGCACAGGTGATTTTAAGAAAAAGTTTGATCTGCGTGGGTGTGACCTGACCACAAGGTCCCTTTAAATCTGGGTCAGAGACTGAGAATCCAGAGCGCAGTTGCTGGGCTGAAGATGCAGAAAGCCACATGGCCAAAATGAGGGTAGGCTCTAGATGGTGATAGCAGGTGCCTAGCTGACAGAGATCTAGGAAACTGGGGTATTAGTCCTACAAGTACAGGGAAGTGAATCCTGCCAACAACATTAAATGAGCTTAGCAGTGGATCCTTTCCACTTCCTTCCTTCAGGAAGGAAGCCTTATGCCTTGATTTCAGCCTGTGAGACCCTGAGCAGAGAGCCCAGACATGCCATCGCTGACTCCAGACCCAGGGAAATTGTGAGATAGTAAATTTGTGTTGTTTTAAGGTGCTAATTCTACGGTAATTTTCTGTGCAACAATAGAAAACTAACCAGTCTCTAACTGGTCTCCCTGTCTCCATTCTGATCCTTCTCCAATTCAGCATTCAAACTGCTGCCAGAGATTCTTCTAAACTGCAAACTTCATCATATTAGTCCTTGTGTACAAGTCGCAATGGGAATTTAAAAAAGACATGTGTGTACAATGTGCATATACCTTTATGTGAAAAGCTGGGTCAATGAGCAATAAAATGTCTATACTTTTTAAAAAATTAATACTCTTCCATCACATTAATGATAAAATCTATACCCTTCAGATGTCATGAGCAGACACCTATGGCTTATTTCATCTCCCAGTGATTCCCTACAAACATCCTACAATCCAGCCATTTCACATGATCTTATTATTCCAAGTGCCATATTTTCATCTTTTATGCTTCTGATTGCCTGCTGTTTACCTATATGAAAAATCCATAGTCCACAAGACACAGCTCAAGTACCTTCTCCCTAACACCTTCCCCATAACACCTTGGTTCTCACCTTACTGGACTGAGAGGTTGTTGTCTTCAGAGTCTCTGTTTATCACTTTATCTTAGCCTCTAGCACACTGTGAGATCACTGATGTTTAGGTCCCTCTTTTAGAGGAGGAACGGACAGAGATACAACTTTTATCTGTGTCCCTATTTCTGTTAGCCACTGCTAGTGTAATGGTCTGAATGTTTACATCCTCACCCAAATCATACATGGAATCCTAACTCCACTGTGATGGCATTTAGAGTTGGAGCCTTTGGGAGGTGATTAGGTCATGAGGGCGGAGCCCTCAGCATTGGTATCAGTGCCATTATAAAAGAGGCCTGAGAAAACACCCTCACCCCTTTTGCCATGGGAGGACATAGCAAGAAGACAGCCATCTATGAACCAGGAAGTGAGCCCTCACCACACACAGAATCTGCTGGCACCTTGATCTTGGACTTCCCAGCCTCCAGAATGGAGTGAAATAAATGTTTGTAGTTTAAGTCACCTATCTATGGTATTTTTGTTATAGCAGCCAACACAGACTAACACAGATGGTTAAAAAAAAAAAAATGTCTGTTTGGAGAACAATTTCCTAATGAAGATTACTAAAATAAAATACTAAGCTGGAATTAGGATTAATTAGTGGAGATATAGCCTAATAAATTTGGATCATGAGAACTCATATTTTTTCCTAAAAACTGATAAGAAAAAAAATGAGACCAAATTTTGGATGAATTTCAATATGAAAAAATTAGAAGCCCTTTATATTGGAAAACTCAAAAAATAATCATGAAAATATTAATAATACATTGGGTAAAAAGGGATAATATTAACTTACAAAATGCTATTTCAATTCAGTAAGAAAAAAACAAAAAATGAGAAAGGATATGAAAAAGCAATTCATAGAACAGAAAATATACATAGATGATGAATATATTAAAATGTTCATAATCATTAGCAATCAAACAAGTGCTAATTAAAACAAAGAATTATTTTCTGCCCATTAAGTCAGCAAAACCCAAAAAGTTTAAATGAGAACACTAGTCTTAGGAAAACACACAAAATAAAGTGCATTCTCTTGTACTGTTAGTTGTATGTAAAAAAAAAAAATCAATTACAACTGTTCTGACAAAACAACTTGGCAATAGACAGGGCCTCAAAAACCTTCACAATTTTTAAATCAGCAATCCCATTGATTATAACTTATCCTAAGAAAATAATTATAGACTTAGCTGCAAGAAGACTCAGCTGCAAAGATGTGCTTATAATAATACAGTATTCGGAAGGAAAAAACTGATTATCAAATAATACGGTAGCATTTGAAAAACTTACAGTATAGCCATAAATACAATATTGTATAGTCATTAAAAATCATGTTGTCAAAGAATATCTAATGGTTTGGGAAGATAATCATAATACACTGTTAGGTGAACAACCTAAGTTAGTTACATATACATAATATATTTTTTGTACATAGTTTTTACAAAATATGTATAATGTAAAAATGAGATATACCAGCTGGCTGGTGGGATTGCTGGTAAAGGCTATTTTTAGGGGCTATCATAATTTATGATTCAAACCAGGACATTTTTAAGAATGAAAGGGATAGCTACTAAAAATTTCACTGGGACAAAAGTACAGACCAGTTCTGTTCTAGACAAACCATAATTACGGTTACTTTATTTCCATCCTTTAAATTATTGTCTTTATCAGGGGTGGGCAAACTATGCTGTGAGCCAAATCAAAGTGAAGCTAAGTACCTGGGAAATAGTATAGCCCTTAAAGCCTAAATATTTGCTATCTGTCCCTTAAAGAAATTCTGTTGATTCCTGATCTGTATCAAATACAATGAATAAGCATAACTCTAGCAATAAAAGAGTTATTTTTTAAAACACCAATTTTAGACAAAATGCCATTTTTAAGTAAGCATTAAAGGTAAAACAAATCAGCATAATGATAATTACTTCAATCAAAGAAATTCCTGCTAGAGTCTTCTAAAGCTACAAGGAGACTTAAGTCACTGTACTGGTCAGGAATATTTTACTAACTGCCTCCCAAAAAGCTCTGTAAGCGACCAGATTTAAAATTACTATGATTTTTCATTTTACTTGAAGAAAAACCAAGTATATAATGTGCACAGTAATAGTCCCAAAAAATGCCTAAATCAAACAAGTTTTAAAGTATTAAGTATTACCAGAAACAACCCCTCAAAAAACCCCTGATTTCCATTACCTAGTATTGAATTACATAAAAGATATACAATTTAAATTTTTTTTTTCAACGTTTATTTATTTTTGGGACAGAGAGAGACAGAGCATGAACGGGCGAGGGGCAGAGAGAGAGGGAGACACAGAATCGGAAACAGGCTCCAGGCTCCGAGCCATCAGCCCAGAGCCTGACGCGGGGCTCGAACCCATGGACCGCGAGATCGTGACCTGGCTGAAGTCGG